GTGGTTCCCGAGTTGAAAGTGCGGGACAAAATGTGGGACACACACACACACACACACACAAACACAAACACACACACAACCCCGTGACAATATGCGTTTTGTGACGCTGTTATACAGCAAAAAACGCATAAAAAGAAAAGTCACCGACCTGAGTGCTTATGTAGCTGATTTTGGCAGCTGTATCATCAGTGATCAGACCGGCACCATCAGTGAATGATGTACAAGCTGCACACCGTGGTTCCTCAGTTATATGCAAGCGAAAACTTCCTAGAAAATACAAGAGCAGTGAGAATGAAGTTTATGGCATGTAGCAAAGGATCACCTGATTATGCAGTCCATCCTTCTGCCCTTAGCCGAATGACGGAAGTGGGAATCACCAGTACAGCCTTCCAGCCACCACAGACCTATTTTTTCATTGTCAAGGCTGGATTGAGCAGAGTTTATTAAAAAGAAGAAGCAGAAGAGTGAAGGAAAGAGGAAAAAAAAAACAAGAGATAGTACAAAATGCAAAAAACTCAAAGTAAAAACTGTGCTGTGCAGAACAAAATAAATGGCCGGCGCACCGACTGCCGATGCGAAGATGCGTTATTTGCATAGTTCCCCAGCAGATTTTTGCTGCCAACTGCATTGTTTTTTCCGGCAGATGCTTCTATCTAAGAGAATTTGAGATTTTAAAGAAATGCTTCCTGTCAGGAAGCATTCTTTAAAATTTCAGCTTTCTACCTTTGCTGGTTGCCGAGTAAGTAACTTACCCGCAAAAACTTTCACGGGCTCGTACATAGGAGCCATGCAAAGCCGGGGGCTGAGTTTGAGCTCATTAACACCTTAAAATTATAGTCTTCTAACTTTTCAGATTCCCGAGTTAGCTACTTACCCGGAAAAAACTTTCACTGGCCCATACATGAGAATCACTCATATCCGGGGGTTAGGTTTGAGCTCATTAAGACTTACGTGGACAGGGAATATCTTATTAATATTATAGTCTTTTAGCTTGTCGAATTTTCGAGTGCTAGTTTGTCGAATTCTCGAGCAACTTCTCCGAAAAAACGCCGACGGGAACATTCTCTTAAAACTACAATCTTCTAGCTTCTCAGGTTCCCGAGTTACCAACTTACCAGAAAATTTTGGCCGGACCGTGCGTGAGTACTACGCATATCCGACGGTAGGATTTGAGCTCATTGAAACTTATACGGACGGGGAACATCCCCTTAAAATTTCAGCTTCCTAGCTTTTCTGGTTCCCGGGTTAGCGACTTACCCGTAAAAAACTTTGGCGGACCCGTACGTGGCTACCACGTGGGTAAGGCCACCCATTTTGGGAATGAGGGCCCGTACATGCATGCAGATTAAGTTCCCAAAGTTTCAGCCCTATAGCTTTTATACGTCTTGAAATGAAAAATCAGTACAGATGCACACACAAACACACACACAAACACACGCACAAACACACACATACACAAACACACACACACACAAACACACACAGACAACCCCTCGTCAAGATGCAAAAAATGCATAAAAAGCAGAAAAAATGCTAGGTAATCTAATGCATTTCCTGGGCTACCTGTGCTGTCCATAAGCCCATCCATTAGCGATCGTTTTACGCCTAAAATAATCTACAAAGAAACACGAACTTGGCAGGACGAATTCGGTGGAAGCAGCGCTGTCTGTCGGTATGCTGTAGCTTTGTCGGAGATTTTCAGGCATCGATTGCGTCGTCACCAGCACACGTGGTCCGTGATTTTCACAAAAATGACACAGCGCCAACACGGCATGCATGGTCCCCTGCAAATAAAATCCCATTAGGATGGCAGACGTAGGAATTAAGAGTCATATAGTGGATAAGCATACGGGGGAAGCAGTCTGTATTTCATCCCTTAGCTGTAAACACAGACAGAGCTCCATGTGCTGGTAAGAGCGGGAATCATCAGTGCAGCCTCCTACTCGCTATGTGTTGTATATAAATATGAAAGATTCGCAAGGAAAGAATGTGATTTAAAGTGTGAAGGAATGATTTAGACGAAAGAAGTGAAAGAAGAGAAGAGAAATGAGCCACACTAAGAAAACCCTTTAAACAATTCTTATCCCCCCTCCCT